GCGGAATCTGGTTTTCCCCTTTTTTCTCGGGGTGGAAGTACATGCCCCTTGTTCATACCCCTTGGCTTCCGCAGTTTCCAACCCACTTTATCAGGGCTGTAATTATCCTTTTGGGGAGAGGGGGTATGAACATCTGCAGGCCTTTGGGTTCATTTATCCAAGGCGGAAGCACCCCTGGACTTTTGTTTGGTGCGGCTGCCAACTAAAAGCGGCCAAGCCACAAAGGGGCGCTAGCTCAGGGTGGATTGGCCGAGCGTCTAGCTATTTTCAGTGCATCCTACACAGATTTGCCGGTGGCCTCTGATTGAGGGAGGCCCATTTCGCTTGCTTGAAAGGGAGACCAACAAGACACCATGTCTTTTTAAGGTTTCCCATGTTTTGGACCTGCGGCCTCTAGCCGACGCCTCGTTATACCATGCCATGTCACATCATTTTATTCTGTGTGAAACGTATCCTATGTGTTGTTAGGTTATTGCCCACTCCAGCCATCGCATCTACCATGTCATGTCACGTTATTTATGTGAAACGTATCCTGTGCTATTATATGCTCATGGGGGCTGCGAGGAAGGGAAGCCCTTCTTAAGCCCCTAGTAAGGCCTCATTTGGGGGGTTATTGGGGTCATGCATTTTGCCCACTCCAGCCATCAACATCCCAGATGATGCTGGGAATGCCAGCTTTCTAAGCCCCAGCAGGAACCGAGTCAAATCACGTGGGGTCGCGCGCGCGCGCGCGCGCCAGAGGCCCCAGAACAACAGTGTAACAGCCGAAAAAGAACAGCTCGCAAACCAGCCCGGAAACGCAAACGCAACAAAACACTGTAAAATAGCAGCGCTTTGTGGCCGGGCGCGCGCGCGCGCGCCACAAGGCCCAACAACCAAAGGACCGCGCAGCATACGAGCCAGCCAGAGCAGAAGCAAAGCAAACACAACGTCGGCCCAGCGCGCAGCATAGCATTTGTTGACGGTATTTACTGCGCTTTGTAGGCCAAGGAACCAGGCCCAACCCCAACCCCAGACCCGATGTCAGCCACACGGCCTAAACCCTGCACACACGCGATGTTTTGCGAGGGGCAAGCAAAACATGCCCGAGCTGGTGATGCACAGGGGTGTACCCATAGCTAAAGCTAGCAGGCAGATTGCCTAGCGGCGACATGCTACCCCACACCTCCACCTGCGGCTGCCGACCCTCATGAACGAAAAAACGAACAAAATTGGCAGCTCACCCGGCCCAGCACCAGCAAAGGCAAACCGTGAAGGGGATTTGAGGCGTCAAGTCCAGGGCCCGGTTTCCCATTTAGCCTCCACTTGCGGCCGCCGACCTCATGAACGAAAAAACGTCCGTTAATTGGTGGTCGCCCGGTTCAGGCAGTTCCTCGTTTTGGCCAAGGAAAAAAGTTCTGACACGGAACTGCTCTCCCATCAGAGCGCTTGAGGATGGATGTCCTTTCTTGGCTGGAAGGAGATGGCGCTGGCTCCAATAAACCACAAACACACACATGGGGCTCATTGGCAAACCCAAGCACAAGCCATCCTCGTTTCAAAGAGCTTCCCAAAATCTTCCATACTCCGACAAGTTCCGAATCAGGTATTTTGCCCCAGAAGAGGAGTCCAGACTGAGAGAGGCGGGGGAGAGAGCGAGAGCGAGAGCGAGAGCGAGAGCGAGAGCGAGAGCGAGAGCGAGAGCGAGAGCGAGAGCGAGAGCGAGAGCGAGAGCGAGAGCGAGAGCGAGAGCGAGAGCGAGAGCGAGAGCGAGAGAGAGAGAGAGAGAGAGAGAGAGAGAGAGAGAGAGAGAGCGAGAGAGAGCGAGAGCGAGAGAGTTTCTGACAGGCCAGTTGATTGCGTGGAAGTGGCCAAACAGGTTTTGGCAAATGGCGGTGCAACTGCTTGGCTCTGCCCCGCAAGATTGCTTGGCGGTAAAGTTGCTGATCCGTCCTGGCTACGGCAAGGAGCAGCCCTGAGGGCCGCCTTCTAAACTGTTGCATTGCGGCCGGGGCTGAGCGTGCCGCAGCAGCCTTTTTCCACAAACTGCTGCAAGATGACCGGAGGCGAGTGGGCAAAGGCCATAGAGAAAGCCGCGCAGGCCGCGTCACCAGGTGCCGCGCGCTCGAATTTGGCTGCATGTTGCGCTTCGCTCAGCCGAGGAAGAAGAAAGGTGCTATGAGACTGGGGCCGCTAGGCGTGAGACCTCAGGGTTGAGTTGCGCTTCTGTGTCGATGTGGCAAATGATGACTTGCCGGCATAGGCTGGCAACACTTTGGGCCCTGCAAGTGTCACTTGACGAGCAGACACGTGGCCACGCATACTGAGCTGGCTCTCCACTACACAGCGCGATCAGACGAGCCAATCTTGGCCACGCTGGTCAACCTGAAGTGGGCGGGGAGTCAGCTCCAAAGACTTGTTCTCGGGCGTACGGTGAAATCGTACGGAACAAGCGCCTGAACTTCTACCCACCTGACCCTTCGACGGTCGCTGCCGTGAAGGCTTTGGAGCAACACCCAGGGCATGTGTCTCAGAACTCGTACCTTCTCACCGTGCGCGCCACAGACCTCGTTGCGCGCCATCTTCTGCAGCCTACTCTGCAGTTTCAGCGTGCTGTTGTAAAGACACAACTCCGCTGCCGCTGTCCGGCACCGCGAGCCTTTTTGTAAAATCGCCAAGATCTTTGCAAAGTATCCAAGACAGCAGCATGCTTTTTCAAAAAGCAGGGAAAGCGAGAGGCTGAACATATTTCGCATCATTTCAATGCCAGCTCAGCTCTGATTCATGATGGAGTCTTGCGCTTGTGCTTCGCGGCGACCTTGCTCTGTTTGCCCTCGTCGTTTGTGTGGTTGAGGGCGTTGAGCGAAACTCCCTGTCACCAGCATAGCCTGAACAAAGGAACGCGCTGGCCGGCGTCTTGGCGCGGCAACGCGTCTCACTCCCTCTTTAGCCTATATGTGCAGCTTTGAAAACGGTCTCACTTCCTTCCCCGCCCCTCAGTCGATGCATCGGGGCGCAAGCGGCATATGTGTAGAAACAACTCACACCGGCAAACTGTTTGCTTCTTTTTCGTCAAGCTTACCGCATGAGGCGGGCCGTACCTGCCCCGCCTTCTGTCTTGCGCTGCATTGATTCCTGGCCAACCCCATGCTAGCGTGACGTCAAGGAAGGGTCTCAGGGAAGGTCCCAGGATCCCAAAACAGAAAGGGGATGGTTTCCCTATCCAGGCTTTGTTTTTTACTTGACAAATTTCGACTTGTTGCACGAGGTGAGGCGGACGTCCTAATATACATATATATATATATATATATTATTTTTACAACAAACCATCCATGCGCATGAGCTTGAAACGCGAGCAGCACGAGAACTTCCAGCCGGACATGGATATCGCTGAGTTGTTGACAATTGGTTGTTGCTCAAGAATGGAATCCCCAAAATGCACCTTGGTACCTGGAACCAACGGCGAAAGCCTGCGCGGCACCAATTTGTTTGAACAAGTTTCAATGGCAGCATTTTGCAAAACTTGCTTGGTGGCCAAAAGGTGGATCGGGTTTTGATGGTTTGCCCTAAAAACCACTCTGTTTGTTGAACTGTTGCTACCCTACTGCAAGCGATGCCAGCGCTTCTGCCATCCTGAAATGGGACTCATGTTTTTTACTACCCCAGCGAAGACTTAAACCCGACGGCAGTAAAGTTTCCACAGCCGGAACCCCGCTAAGTCTACCTTAAGATATTCAAGCAATGGAGCCATAGTCAAACTCTTGAGTAGTTGAAGGCCGTAAGCAGTAGATTGACGCCGACCGTTTGACTTTTCTTCAGGCGGTTCTGAGTGGACCCCTTTAGTACCAGGGTTTGACTGACTGAAATGCAGCCATGAGATTGCCGGCGCCACACTGAGGCCAGGCGGCGCAAGCAGACGTTGTGATGTATGGAGCGTGCATCAGCGCCTGTGAGAAGGGCAAGCAGTGGCAAAGGCGGGATGCAGATGCAGGAGGGAAAGGGCATGGTTGGATTAGAAGGATCGCAAGAGGGGGGTGCTGACACGAAAAGCTGGTTCAAGCACGTCTCATGAAGGCGTCAACATCAGAGGGACTGCCCCCAAGTCGGGCGTTGGGACGATGTTGAAACAAGGGCAATTCCGAAAGTTTGCATCTGGGACCCGTTGAAACTGCCACACTTGTGGCATTGCAAGCAGGAAGTGTGGCGGGTTTTGTTGGGAATGGGCCTGGAGTCGAGTCTCCGCCCTTCAAAAACTGCGGGTCACCAACCCGGTGAGTGTGTGTGTGTGTGTGTGTCGTTTGTGCGCGGGCGGCTGTTGAGGTACCCTTTTTGAGGCTGGCTTTTGCAGGGAGTCCAAATCCCTGCTTTAACACAGTCCCATACCCAAATAGAAAGGAAAGCAAAACAAACAGCACTTCTTGCAATATCCTCGAAAGTCAAAAATTTGGTCTCTCTCTCTCTCTCTCTCTCTCTCTCTCTCTGCAAGATGGTTCCCACTCCCCGCTACCCCCAAAAGGCTAAGTGAAAGCGATGTACGGCGACTATAACAACCACAAACTTTCCCCTGGCGATACCTCAGGGCTCAAGCGCAGTAAAAGAATGGCAACGTGGGACCCAATTTGGATGAAACTCCACAGTAAACAATGCCCGTTGTATTACTCATTGCTTTAGTGACCAGCAGCTGGCCTCACTGGGCGCTCGTGCTTATATAACCCAGCCATTGGTTTGATGGAATAAGGACCTCAAACTGGCAAACTGTAAGCTATGGAACCACTTCAAGGGCCGGGGAGTCCCAGGGGTCAATGTTCAGTTTGCTTCATTGGGCCCTGGTTTTGTTTTACGCCATTGGTTTAATGGAATGGGAATCCCAGGGTCACTGGGGCAAACCTGAGTTCCAGTTGTGATGGAAGTCTTGCAATTATGAGTCTCCACCCATAAAAGCGGAGATTCCATCCTTTTCTTTGCTGGATATACTCAATGAGTCGCCCGAAACAACCAAAACTGCTTCGTTTTTGGATGTTGACCCCATGTTTCCCCCCCGGTTGAAACGGCCACCCGAAACGCGGCAACGGCGCTTCTCCAGCGCGGCTCGTTGCGGCCCAGGGCGGTGCAGCTCCTGTCCGCAGCCTGGGGCCGCGTCGCCATGTCCTCCGTGGCCTACGGGGCCGCCATCAGCGCCTGCGAGGCCTGCGAGGAGCGGATCGGACGCGGGGCGGATGTCGGCGGATGTCAGCCGGGTCGCGGAAAGGGAGATGAAGGAAAACCGTGGCCATTCGGGGAAGTTTTCCCGGCGGCGCCTGTTCAGGCGTTATCCAAGGGGATAAAACTGGCCTCTGTTCGGTGGGGTAAAGAGAAACGAACCAGCTGACTTTTGGTCGGGGACCCTGCATGTGCCATAGAACCCAGCAGAGGGCCCTGTTTAAAGGAAATGGTCTTCCAGACCCGCTGTGGGGCTCCATGTTTGTGGGTGGGAGGGTACCTTTTTATGGTTCAAAGGGAAGCCAAAAGGGCATTAAACCATCCAGTTTGGTCCAATTTGGAGGTCCACGTATTTTGACACACCCACTTGGTTCTGAGAGTCAAAAGCTTGATTCGGGTCGAAGAAGGTGAGGGGACAGTCCCACAAGCAGCTGCGGGAATCCGTTCTTTCCTCTTCTCTCTTTACATGGTGCTGGATAGCCAACTCAAAGGTCGCCGGTGTTTTTTCCTGAGCCGATCCCCACCTTTGGGAGGTCCCCAGGGGACAACTTTTCAGGAGACACCTGGCTGACGGTCGCCGGGTTTTTCCTATTGAACCGATCCCCCGCCTCACAACTTTTCAGCAGAAGGTTGACTTGAATGTTCAACCCACCAGGGGTCCTTGGATATCCATCTGTCGACCTCCAATAGCGGCGGTTTCGGTGGCATCCACCGGTAAATTGCAAAACTTTTGAAGGGGAAGTCCAGTGACCCATGACTGAACAGCTAAGCTGCAACCATGGCAGCTGGGGGAACTGGGGTTGGTCCCCTTGTACCCATGATTGCAAGTACTTGCCGAACGGAATGCTGAACTGAACCCAACGCCCATTTAGGAGGGTTACAACCCCCTTGATAACCAAACCAGGCGGCCAAACAGGGTTGTGTTTCGTGGTTTTGAGTATCTCTTTCACAAACCCTACCCCGACGAACATTCTGAATCGGGGTCTTATTTCGGTTATGGCGGATGTTCGGTCCCACCCAGTGATGCCCTGCCTCCCGCTTTGGAGGGACAGCTCCCTGAAGAATCTACCAAAAATCGGGCGGGATCGCCGGGCTTCGGTAGGGAAAGTTGGTTTTAACAGAAACCATCCAGGTGGAATTCTGGCAGATCGGTTTCCCAAAACCCACCCGAAGGGCCCCAAGCTTTGGGCGGTTTCGCGGAAAGCTTCGATCACCCTTCGATCGGGGGCCTCAACGCCATCGGGGCTCGGAGGGTTTTCGGAGTTTTTTCGTGGGCAGGCTCCCTAGATGGAGTGGCATTGAGTGCGCTCACCAAGTTGCCAGGAACGGAAAGTTGCTCACCAAAGTTCAAGGTGGGCCACGCAACAAACATTGACCGTAGTTCAATTTGTGCCAAGGCCCCCAACTGATGGATATGCGCCCATTCAGGATCAAGTTGGGTATGCGTCAAAATAGACCCCCCCCCCGTGGGTTCCCTTTGGATTTCCCTTTCAATCAGCAGCCAAGATTGGGTTCCCCTTCGAAAATCACGCACCCAGCAGAAGCTGTCCGCTTGGTCTAAACTGGCAGCAGCTTGGTCAAATAGTCGTTTAATGTTTGGGTAGACAAAGAATGGGTTAAAGAGTCAAAACAGTTCTGGAGTCTCAAAATCGGTTGGAAGCTCCCCAAAATCTGTGGTGGTTTCCTCAAAGGTTTCCCTCTACAGCACCCCGGAAAAGGATGCCCTCAAGCAAGTACGTAGTGTTTTCTGTGTCGATGTGGGCCCAGTGTAGCCTTGACTTTAAATTGGTGTCCGAAAATCCAAGAAAACGCCTCGTGCCGCTGTTTTGATTGACGGGTAAGGGTGAGAGCCAGACTTGCGACCTGCTCAACTGACAGGCTTCCTATTGCTCTCGCCTTCAAGCCTTCCCAAGAGGTGCAGGTGTTTTCCGAACTGCGAGTGGTTTGGAGTCTAAGACATGTTCCCCACATCAAGTCGCATCCAAATGGTGTATCCGAAGTCAAAGGTTTGGTGGCTGCGCCCAAACCTGAGCAACCCAGACTTCCATTTGCTCAAGAATATGTTCATGTTTTCCCTCTTGGGTTTTAAAGGGAATCGATTTCACTACTGGACATGTTTTTTCATTTTTTCCAGGGGGGAAATAAGCAAATAGAAGAAGAGCGTTCCCATTCCGACAGCGCTGGGCACGAAGGAGTGGAACTACGCCCTGCTGCTGCTGGCTGATCTGTTCGCGCGGGCGCTGCGGGCGAACGTGGTGACCTACAACGCGGCTCTGCAAGCGTGCCGCGCGGCTCTGAAGATGGGTCCAAAGTATGCGTGTGTGTGTGTGTGTGTGTTTTTGTTTTATTATTATTTGTTTTTTAATCGCACGCCTTTTTTAGGTCGGTGTCAAGTGAACTCAAAGGACAAACAAGGAATGGGACCCCCCAAAAAAAAAACGAGAAGAAACAAAAAGATAAAGTGTAATAAAAAATGGCCTTCGCATTGGGTTGGCAACCATAGGACTCTTTGTGGACCCTTGTCCGGATGTTGGCACAAAGAAGCCTCTAGCGCTGCGAGACTGACCAAAGCTGGACCTTTTGCAGGTCTACGTTTGGCCCAGGCCGTGTGTCTACCCATCCAAGTGCTCGGTGTCAAGTTCTTTCCGTTTTAAACAGTCCCAACAATTGCTGTCTTGGCTTTGCCTTCAGACGCCGCAATTTAGCTGCACGAAGCTAGGCAAAGCGTCGACCGGGCCATGATTCCCTTTAAAGGGGGATCTAAAAGAGTTGAGGTTGAACGACGAGCTTTATGATTCAACAGCTGGTTTACGCACTGATTGTCCAGTTACATGACTCCGAGTACTCAAACAAGAAGCAGTCAAACAACATGCGGAACAACGTCGGCCAAATTTGCTGGGCAACTGCAGGAAGCTCCGATGTGTGAATCAAACACGTACTGCAATGTGCTTGTGTGCGCATTCTTTTCAACTTCGGTAAACTGGCATCCAAGTCGCGACTGTTGAATCAAATTATGATGATAGATATTATGCTGCATCAAGTCAATATAGTGGAACTTTAGCTGCAACCCCGACATGCTGCCGAAGGTTGTGGGGCTTGGTGGGGCTTGCAGCCTTCTCAGACTCACTTGCCTGCCCACGCCTTTAGTCGATTGACCCGCCGGACGTGCAAAACTCATCATTTGCAGAAGACTCTCCTTGTGGGGGACTGCCTTTTCGAGGTTCTTGTTGAAGAGAGGGCAGATGTCCTGTTTCGCCTCTCATGAAGCTATAGCTTTTCTGCTCAGGGCATGGTGATCCTTGCAAAGGGCAGCGCTGGTAGCCTTGAATGCAGGTCCCAACTCCTGCCTAACCTCCCTTCCTCTTGTTTGTCCCCACCCAGCCTGCGTCAAGGCTCCCTGTTGTTTCCCTTTTGAACATTACCGGCCAAACGGATGCTCGAAACCGCAGAGAAAATGCCCGTGAGGCCAAAAGGGCCAGCGCTGGCAAAAGTGTCTGCACTTGCTCGCCGAGATGTGCGGCAGGCGCCAGGAGCGAACCGAAGCGCATAGGAATTGCTTATGTGGGAATTGTCAGAAATGTGGCCCCTTTCAGAATCCTTGTTGCCTTTGAAACAAACTACCAAAACAGGGGTCCCTAATTTTTGACAACCCATTTGGAAATGAATTGAAGTAGGAAATCACCTCAAAAGTGGTTGGTTCGTGGGCATGCAAATGATGTCCACCAAAGGGTTCTCATTGAAATTCACATCCATGTCCCTTTCTGGTTTCAGTTTGGCGACAAGGTGGGATTTCGTAGGTTCATGAATCCCTTTCGCAGTGCTCCTTGGACCCCGACTAGTATCCAACTCCGCAGCATGCTGCAGCATCGAGCGAGACGCGCAATATCTGTTTATGTTGAGTTTTTCTGCAATCCGCAAGAGACGAAAGGACAAAAAAATCAAGTCCTTTTGCAACTTGGGTTTAGTTCCATGTTTTCTCCATGACACGCCAGACATCACTGGAGAAATCACATGCCATCTCAGCTTGACCCCAGCAACACGCGATGTTGCCTCAAACCGGGGCCTACACCCATCCGGAGTACGAAGTGGACATGGCTTTCGGAGAACGTTGTGTGATAAGTTACAACAAGCGAATTGGAGGTTTCCAGGCACCAAAAAAAGTACATCGCCTCTTGGGAGGCATGAAAATCTGCGCACCTTTTCTTTGGTGCATGTTGCTTCGATGTTAGGACTTCAACTTGTTGCCAACTAATGATTTTTCCGTATTAAACCACTAAAAGTTAAACTTTTCGCAGGGCTTCGCAGATTTCGCAACCGAGGTTTGGTGTCTTTTTTGATCCAAGGGGTAGCGCTTGGCTCAGGAGTTTCTCCAGAAGCCGTTGGATAAGCCGACGGGGTGTTGAAAGCGAAGGGTTCCCTGGCCTGGGACACCCCATGAAGCAACCGGGATTTTGTTCATCCCGGGTTCCCTCTAGCGCTTTGGGTTGGTGAAAACATCACCTCTCACCTCTGCCCAGTTTACGGTAAGTCTCCTTTGGTGAACTTGAGAGCTGAAGTACCTTGGTGCTCGGTGGAACCCAGGGGTCCCCTTAAATGAAACCATCAAATCAGGCACCAGTCTGCCACACGGTTGGCACCACTGCCGGATAGGAATATGTGATTGCGTGCTCCACAGCTGTGTCAACTCTAGGACTCGACGAACCTGCTTTCATTTGGAAGAAATCCGGGGTCATCCAATTCTCATTTCCTGCATCTCTCCCACCAGCAAGATACAGGCAGCCTTATTCCTCGGCCCCCTACTTCCACCCTGAGGAGCCAAATGCCATCAGCTACAACGCCGTGCTCAGTGCCTGCGGGGCGTTTGCCTGGCGCCACACGCGTCTCATCCAAAAGTTCTGACCGTTTTGACCCGCTGACGCGAGAGATGCAGGGAATGAGAAATGGAATGAACCCTTCATCTGAACCATCCCCGATTTGGTTTCCTGTTTTTTGGGAAGTCCCCTTCCTGTTCACTCCCAACACCCGGAAGGGTCATTTCTTGAGCGCCAGCAAGTTTTTCCCACCTTGAGCTTTGGAACCTCTGCCTGGGGCCCAGACAGGCTCCCAAATCTTCCGTTTGCTCAAGAATATGTTTTGAAATTTTCTGTTGGTTTCACTAATGTGGGACCTTGTTTACTGTGGGCCCCCCCCTCTCCTCCCCAAGCAGTCAAAACAGTGCTTAGCAGAATTCAGACCAGCGATATTAAACCAGGTGCAACATTACTGGACATATGTTTATTTGTTTCAGTAAGAAATGGATCCGGAGTCGAAGGGTTCCGGAAGGGTTCCGATATCATCTGGGCGTAGTGTTCAAGAAACACCTGGCTGGGGGGCGGATTGCACCTACGGACTCAACGAGCAAATCAACAGTTGGTAGCAACCTATTGGTATTGAATAGGGATCCCAAGCTTTACCACGTGCAACGAGAAATGAATTCAATATCTACCCTCTATGGATCACCCCGGGCGAGTGGCTTCTGGTGGTACTGCTTTCTGAGAATTTCACCAGTGCTTAAAACGCAGGGGAGCATGCCAGCACCTCAGAGAATACCTTAATATTCACGCTGGGCCATGTGTTCAAATGCTACTTGAATTATCTTCCTGTTCGCTTGGATCATTTGGTTTTCTTTGGTTTCCGTTTCCCAGGATATACCTTCCCAAAAAGGCATTTGGAGCAAACCAAAAGGCAACGAGCTTCCGGTGGTAAAAATGGGGGTGTCGAGGATTCACATGTATCCTGGAGGGTTTAACCATCGCCCCAAGCAGACTCAATGTTTTTCAGGGTCACACAGATAGATAGATAGATAGATAGACAGACAGACAGACAGACAGACAGACAGACAGACAGACAGACAGACAGACAGACAGACAGACAGACAGACAGACAGACAGACAGACAGACAGACAGACAGACAGACAGACAGACAGACAGACAGACAGACAGACAGACAGACAGACAGACAGACAGACAGACAGACAGACAGACAGACAGACAGACAGACAGACAGACAGACAGACAGACAGACAGACAGACAGACAGACAGACAGACAGACAGACAGACAGACAGACAGACAGACAGACAGACAGACAGACAGACAGACAGACAGACAGACAGACAGACAGACAGACGGACAGACAGACAGATAGATAGATAAATAGGTAGAAGATAGGTAGGTAGGTAGATATAGATCTAGATCTAGATATAGATATAGATATAGATATAGATAGATATAGATATAGATATATCTATATAGATACACATTCATATATATATATATATGTATATATACATATATACATATGATACAAGATACTAGGTCCCCCCCCCCCAAGCTGATGGTACCCCACATCCACCCACGAAAGGTTAGGCTGGATAGTGTGCAGTGGGTTTAGGCTGGGTTTGGAATTGTCCGAAGGGCGTGCTGGGGTGTGGGGATGGTTGGGTGTTAGGGGCGATACCGTTGGGATGGGGGGCGACTAATGAACCTGGGACTGGGAACAGAAACACCTGGTAAGCATCTGGGGTTGATCAAAAGGTCCTTTGCACGGGACGACCATGGGGAAAACCATTAAAAAGATCATATGTCCCACCCTTGGTCGCCATGAATATCAATCAACCCCCATATGCATACAATACGTATCAACCACCCAAACTTTCATTTGCTTAAGACTATTTGTTCCCCCCTGTTAGCTTTTAAAGGGAATCTATCACTACTGGACATATATATATATATATATTTTTCAGAGGGCTTAAGCAGATGGAAGCAAAGGAAAGACAGAGGCGTCAAACCGCGAGCCTCAGGCTTCGAATCTTCTTCCAGCTGGATGCTGAACGGGTGGCGCTCGACTCGGTCAGCCGCCCAGATCTGTGGATTCGTGGATTGGATGGGTTCACTCCACATCACTCAAGGTTACGAATGGGGCCGTTCCGAAAGAGGATGATCAAATCACAAGGGAAGAACATTTGGCTTGGTATTCTTGTTTTTATTTTTTTCTTGGGGGCCAAATGAGAGTTTTCCTTTGGAAACCGCTCTGAAACCCAGCAACGGCAGCTCACGAAAAGAACACCCTTCATGGTCTCCCAAAATGCAGTTCTCGGTGGTGGTCAACCCATACAAGTTCATTGCACAAGATATTGATCCTGAAAGGACATTGAACCTAGCTCAAATCTTGCTTGGAATCTGTCCAGCCTTGTGAAGATTGTTTAGGTGTTGGCGAGAACGGAGAAGTGTTACATGTGCTTCTCGCCCAGCCTTTGTACTAGCTAAGCCAACGGAAGCGTGTTTAGTTGTTCAGCAACCAGCGGGGACATGGTGCATCAGGTCTTCCAACTTGAAATTGAAATGGAAGACATAGAAGGTCTTAGGCTTCTTCCAAAAGATATTGGCAAAAGGAAAGCCCCCCAACAAAAAACGACACACCCATATGGGTGTTAGGGGACCCTAAACTTATAGATTGCAGGGCTCCAAGACCTGGCGCGATTCCGCGTCCGGTGTCAAGCGGCAGGTGGCGCTTGGCGCCGCGTTGGCTGCCGCGCCGCGGAAGACTTCGGCCCTGCTGCGCCGCTTGGAAGACCTGGGAGTGGCGCGCCTTGCGCGGAAAGCGGCGCCGAGTCACCAGTCGGCCCAAGGAAGTCATCGCAGGTTTGCAAACGGCTCAAGGGAGCGAGAAGCAAGCGGAGCTGGATGTGTGTGTTTGTTGTTGCCTCGATGGCTTTCTTGGGTCCAGCCACCCTCCAAGCATAATCTATGATTTCCCAAAAAGGAGATCGAAACCTGGGTCTCCTCCATATAAATATGTTATTTGTGGGTAGAGACTCGGAACATGTGATTTTTAGAGTACCCCAGAAGTGGCCTTCACCCAGAACTCAGCTTTCCGCGCATTGGTGGCCTGGGTGGTTTGGAGATTTGTCTTGTGGAGGGTACATCTAACCACCAGACCATCCGAACCACAAGAGGGTTACCTGACAAACATGTGGTTTTGGGGTAAGAAACAAAAAATGCGCAATCGCTCAGTGGCATCCATTGTTTCTTTTAAAGACAAGCAAGGTTTTGCATTGAGCCCGTGAAATCCGTTGGCTCTGTCGGATATTTCGGGCTCTTGCAAGTTTTGGCTTGCGGCCAAAAGTCTCCCATGAAATGCGCTCGGGATGGGTCTTGTCTCTGTGGATTCTCTCAAAAAGACATTTTGGTGAAAGGGGTGCCCTCAACTTGCTCACAAGTCCGGATGGGGAACTTTCAGCCTCAAGCCTCTGCATGACGGGCTCAACATGCGGAACGGCAGCAGGCAGGGGCTGGGCCGTCGCAATCCCCACCGAGAAGAAAGAGGGGAACTAAGGCCTCGCAAATTCGCGGAGTCCCCCGAAATCTTGAAGTACCCAAAGTGGTGGATGCCCACAAGGGAAAGATGGTGACGGCGACAACCAGGTGGTTCCTACTCGCTAAGAAAGCAGCTTCTTTTTGGTGGTTTGCTTGGGGGGGTTGCAAACACCCAAATTTTTGCCTGTTGTCCCCCCTTTCGAGGAGAATCGAGGGAGGTCGTTTGAACAAAATTCTATGTTTTTCTGAAGCACATCAAATTTATCTCCTTTGCTTCCCGCCACAAACAAGGAAAAGCCAGGGAACCCAAAAGCCAAACGAATGCTGCGTGCCAGCTTGTTGACACAAGGAACAGACTTTAAGGAACTTTGGTCACCCTGTGGTATGTGTTCTTAGTTGGGGCATATCTTGTTCCTGACCCCTGGCCTTGCACTGAAGCTGTGCTGTCTAGCTTCACAGCCCGGCTTTTCTGGAGCCCCTGTTGTTTGTCGAAAGAAACATGTCAACTCTTGGAACGAACTTTGACACCTTCATGCCCCGGCATGTGTCCTTTTCCCCTTGGCTTTTGTGGCGGCTATTCCAGTATCCCCAGTGTATCCCCCCCCCCCCCAATTTTTCGGAAAACCGGGAAACTCGCTACGGACTTTTCACGACTGAGCTCCCTCTTGGCAGGTGCCCCCTTTTGCACCAGCCGGACGTCGCGTCGCGCGACTGTCGTGAGAGCGGTTCAGCGCATTCTGCGAATGCACCGGTTTTTGTTCCATGCATTCCGGGCTTTCGGCAGTTTCTAAGTCCTCAAAGCCTTCCGAAAGATACGGTTATACTTCCGTCGGACATGACCACATCTCTTAGGAGGCGTTGTAGACACGATTATTGAAATGGCTGCGCGGTCCGCCGCCGCCAGTGGGGTGCCAGGAATTGTAAGACCTTTTTTTTTCTCGTGGAAGTCTGAAAGTGCCACAGCAAGGCCTTCTTGGCACTTTCCTATTTTTCAGTCAGGAGACATGTCCCAGATGCTGGGGATGCTTGAAATGCAAGGGATGCAACCACACAACGCGGAACAGACCCAATCTTCGCATCCAAAATTGACGTACCACAGAAAATACCAGAGATGTCGGGAATGCTGGGAATGCAGCCGGCTGGCCACAAAAAAGTCCAAAAAACCAGGATTTGTTGAGATTTCCCAACATCAACCATCAAAAGCAGACACTAGCAACCACGATAATGCAGGGGATGTTTCGCAGTAACTGCTCCGTACAGGTGGGGAATTGCAAAAAACACACATTTTTGCAAATTCAAACAGTTCCTCAACGTATGACTGCACTTGGCCCCACCCAGGCCGATTCCAACATCGCTTGAAACAGCAAAACACAATTAGTATCTGCAAAAAAAAAAGACAAATTCATAGCAGCAAGGTAACCCTGATGATGCTGGGGATGCAGATCCTGCGTGTCCGGAAAACCCCCTTGCTAGAGACCTAGGCGAAACGCAGGTTTTCAGCAGCCCCAAAACCACTAGAAAATTACAGGGTTTTGGACACCCAGCACACCATGCCCAAAAAATGGCAGCCCCAAAAGCCTTCGGCTTTGATAAGAGATCCGAAGGAAGACCAAGTTGCGAACTGCCATCACGCTCGACTGGCGTCGGCGGATTTACAAACTGCAGTTTTTTTCTAGCAGGAAAGAGGCGTCTTGTTTTCTATGGAGTTACACTCGTACGCCTAGTCGAACAGCCATTTCCTGTGGACAGGATCTACATGTCGTGTTCTCTGCGCCTGGCGGCTAAACCTCGCCCTTCACATTGAGCCTGTGTGTCAGTGTGCAGTCGAACATGCGCAAAACATTGGAAATGCTATATGCAAAATGCGGCCGTGAGCGCTCACTGCGCGTTGATGCGATGTCGACTCTAGGAACGGACTGCCATCCCAAACCTTCGGGGCCCTTTTTTCCCTGAAAAAGCAGGTGCCCCTGCACCTCACCACGAGCAAAAAAGAGGAAATCCACTACGCAAAAGCAACCAACAGATAAAAGACTTGTCTAACAAAACATCAACCAAAAATGGACCAAAACTGGAACTTGCCTACTTACGCAACTGAAAAAGTGGGGCGGCCCCTCGTTCCATGGCTCTGAGTTGCTAGGCTCTCCGGATCAGCGCCCCTATACCCGGGCCATCTCCGCGGCCGGGCGGGCGTCGCGATGGGACGCGGCCCTGGCACTGCTGCGAGGCGCCGGGCGGATTTTTGTGTCTTGAAACGTGGGGATCCCTGAAACCACATGGTGCGGGTCTCCTTTTTAAGCTGGAATCCTCCAAATCAGTGTTGTTTTTTTCCTTTTAGCTTGCCTTTAACAAACAAGGGAAAATCGCCCATCGTTCTTTTCAGCAACGTTTTTTCACATGAGCCACAATCAAAACCCGGGTAAGTGAAGGCAATCCCAAGAATAAGTAGCTGCGGCCACCTTCATAATTATTTACATGGTTCTGGGTCGACCATTTTAACACCGGGTTTTGATTGTGTCTCACACGGTGCGGGTGTCTCATTTTTAAGCTTGGACCCCCCAAATCCTTTGTGTTTGCACAAAGGATGTTCCTCGAGTTTTCCTCTAGGAGAAATGGTTTCAATTAAAACCTCATAAGATGAGATCCTCATGTTTTTCGCGAAAACTATAGGGGATCCCCCAAATTGATGTGTGTCTCTGCCTGATGTTTCCTTTGAACTTTGGTCTCGCCGGAAACACTGGGACTGGAAACCGACCCCAGCCCCCGCTACATCCATTGGATGGTGAAACAGCGAAACGGGCTTCCCATATTTCTTCAAATGAACTCGCGACAAAGGATCATGGTCTGCAACCTGGTCCTTTCAGTGGTGAAGTTTAGTGGTTCTCTTGGATGAAGGTTCCTTTTAGCAGTGATTTCTCCGAGTCTAGCAGCTATTGCCCGGCTGCTGTTCGGAATTTCCGGGGCTTCGCGGTTCCCAATTTGCTCCAGCTCGAGCTCCCCTCGTTGCATAGATTAATGTTGACCCCGGCTCTGATCAGGGTGTTCCCTCCAAAAAGCGATGAATCCCCGCCAAAAAGGGGAGGTTTAGGGTGGGGTCCTCAGTACCCTGCCTGTGGATAATGGATAAAAGCCCTGATGAATCCAGCCCTGGTTGTGGGAGTCCTTCTGGTTTTGTGGGCGACATGAACAATCTAAACCGTGAAGGGGTATTTGTTTAGATCTAAGGGTTGACAGGGTTCATGGACTGTACGGACTCATGAACTGATCAGTGGAGCATCCGTGGCCGTTTCCCAATAGGATGGATCATGTGCCTGAAAGGCGACATCAATTTGTCTCTGTATTTTTGAGCAGAGCCTCATCTTCTCAGATTTGTTTGATTTTGGTCTCGGCAGATCATTTCCTCGTTGCAAGTAGTTGAGTTGGAGCGATGCCCCTCAAAACGGAAACCAATTTAGCTGACTGGAAGACATTCACCGATGCTTCGTTTCACATGGCCAAAAGGGAGTTTGAGGTTTCCCAATGGGCGAAAGAAATGGAGTGCTTGGGATCGATCAACTTGGCTGTGCTAACCACGTTGGGTATGGCGAGAACAAAGCATATCGCTGGAGTCCTTGAATCAGCTAGCTTTGGCACAGGGTTCGAAGGTTGACCCTTTTTGGTCGGACATAAAGGGCCCCCATTCAATCCTTTTTCCCGCAAAATAGCACTTGTGGGAGGGTACCGTAGTACAGGGCAGATCGATTTCCTCTTCCAGGGGGCCATGTTGTTGGAGACAGGGTACTCCAGCAGGGTTTATTTTTTCAAGGCTTGACTCTGGACTCTGTGGAAGCCAATTCCATCACCTACAACGCCGCCATCAACGCTTGCCAGCGAGGCCGAAAAAAGCGAGGCTGAAAAATGGCGAAGAAAGGGAGCCTTGTTGGACCTGTTCAGTTCCGGCTGCTTGTTTGTCCAACCAGGAAGTTTGTACAATTAAGAGGTTTTCCAGTCAAATTGGCTTGACTTTTGACACCGCAAGCCCTCCAAAAGAAACAAACCCCTGTGTACACGCAACTCTCTGAGATGCCCGCGGAATCACTTTCCTTTGCCCAGACACCAGTAGGTTTCTCCCTTGTTCAGCCTTTTTGGTGTGGGTGTCCTTTTAAAATCAACGAACATCGGAAATCCACTGCGGTGCGGGTTGCCAGTTCCAGGTGCTGGGGGCTCTACCAACAAAGCTGGGCTGAGGTAATCCGCAAGATCCATACCTATGGCTACAAACGGGTACAAAAAGGTTACAAAAGGTTACAAAGTTTACAAAAGTTATCCATTCCGCTGTTCAAAGGTTATAAAAGGGCACCGCGTTGTAGTGGCTTCGCCATTCGGATGATGGAACATCGGATTGGCCAACCCTCCGTTTTGCAGAAGAAGGCGAGCGCTTTCTTCCCAAAGTCCCTTGGTGGACTGAGAATCGTGAACCCTGGAGGTCCCGCAAAAACCTGTTTGCTGCTTAAAGGGGGCTGAGTCAGCTTCCATGTGCGTATGTACCTTCAAGCCGGCCCGCAACATGTTTCTAAGCCCAAGAAGGCATGCAATGGAAAAAATGGCCCCTATCCCGAGTCTGCTTGGGGAACCATTGATTCGTTCCCAACCCGTCGCTTTTGGCTTCCCTTTCAACCATCCACTGACAACCCTAGCCAACCAAATGAACAAACCTCAAAAGGCCACACGCCTTTCGGATTTCCCGTTTGCAATCTCCTGAACAAATCGCAGGTTTCTCAAAGCGCAAAATAAGCGTGTGGTTTTTTGTTTAGAGGATACCCCTTTTTGTAAGGGTTTGTAAGGGACACCCAGAGAAAAACCGACCTCCACCACTTTGGGGGGGGGGTCCAAGCTTCAAAAAGACAAGCCACGGAGGCCAAGAATGGCAGCTGGCGCTGCTACTTCTGGCCGCTTGGGCGCCAGACATCATCGCGCTCAACGCCTGCGCGAGCGCCGCTGGAAGCGGAGGCGGAAGCGAAGGCTGGCAGATGGCACTGCTCTTGCTCTCACAGGTGTCCCAGTGACTTGGAAAGACACATTTTGCGGCGTGCGTCTTTTTTAAGGGGGTGTCTTGAAACGTGGGGATCTGATGGGATGGTGTGGGTGTGGTGTTTGTAAGGTTGGACCTCCCAAAATGGTTGGTTTCCTTTTGGCTTCCCTGAAGCAAAAGGGGTGCCCTCAAACAAGATAAACCCGCAAAAGGGAACCCTCAATGGTATGTCTTTTTAAGGTTCGGTTGGGTGTAGCTGTGAGTTTAGCTTCGTGCATACCATGGTCAAAACTTCTTATGTGGGTGTGTTTGTCCAAAGGTTGGACCCCCATAATGGTTGGTTTCCTTTTGGCTTCCATTTAGAAGCAATCAATCACAGAAGACAAACCCGTGTGAGTCACCAAAAGTGACCAAGTCACGTTCACCGCGCCATTCTTTTTGATGCGTTTTGAGGAGGTCCTTGATTTGATCCTGTGTATGTTCAAATATCTATGTACCCTCCCACCAACCAACATGGAAGTGCAAAAAGGCCCTTTCCAAGCGGAAAGGGCTGTGCACTTCCATGTTAGCTGGTGGGAGGGTATATTATGTATATATGTACCCATGTTGTTTTATGGTATTTCTGGAGGAAACCGTTAGCGCTCAAACCGGCGCCTCGTTGAATGGATAGGTTGGTCAAATGGTTTACCTTTTAGGCGGAGGTTTAAAACCTACCACCAGTCTAAGCGATTGAACCTGGGTGCTTGATCGTCCCTCTTTGAGCTTCCTGACGAGTTTTGTGGACATGGAAAGGGGTAACTTTGCCATTTGTTTGGGCTCTTCTGCCCAGAAAGCACTAGAAGCCCAGGAAAGCTGCTGGTGTTTGAAACACAACCATGGTTGGAAAGAACAGGGAACCAACCCACAATCATATCAGGCTTCCCCCAAAAAGAAAAGAAAAATGGCCGGACTCATGTCCAACAGGGTCGAACAAGTACATCAACCCACAAAAAATATCTGTGGGTTTGAGTTGTCGGGCGCGCTTCAATCGAGGCGCCAGCTGGAGGCAGACTGCATCACCTTCAACGCCTGCATCACCTCGTGCCAGAAGAGCAGCCACTGGCAGAAGGCGCTGGACCTCTTTGAGGAGAGGAGCTCGGCGGAATGAATCTGTCGCGAGCCAAAAAATCTGCATGTGTTTGTGAGCTAATGTGGCTGGATCAAAAATGGGGTGTTTTGTTGAGCCCTTTTTTTGCAGGCCGGTTCAAAAGGGAAGCCAAAAGAAAACCAACAGGGCCCCATTTCGGGGGCATCCATGCCCACACCAAGTGGCGTTTTGGTTGGTTTAGTGGTTTCCATAGAACCCGCTGAAAGGTATTCACTTTTAGCAGATCAGAAAACGGACAGCCCAGTTTTTGGGGCAGCGGAGAACCACAAGAGAACCCAACTGCGCGCGGAGGGTCCATGCCATGGCTCTCGGTCACGTCGGTGGATGTGGATGGGATCAACACATTGGTTGACCGACAAGAGGAAGGCGTTTGTTTGCTCGTTGGAGTTGACAACATTGGTGGTTGAAGACAAATGTGGAGGTAGGTTTTTGAGTTGGAGTGTGACATCTAAAGACCTCTCCCAAGTAAAAACCAACAATGGGAGTCTTCTGAAGGGATCAGATGTACAGACAAACTGTTCAATCCTTTCCCCCGTCGCACAGGAGCTACGGCAGCGGCTTCTTAGGGCCAGCGCCTTTGCGGCACCTTCTATATGTATATGTAGCGACCCGTGCTGAGGGTATATATGCAGTTCATTGCGGGGGGGGGGGAGGGTGAGCATATGTGTGTATATATTTTAATATATATATATATATATATATATGGTCACCCCCCCCCCCAGGGCCTACCTTTCTACTTGTTGCATGAAAGAGATTTTCTTGCAGATGTTCAGTGTCCACTTGGTTTGCAGATGCCTTGCAGAAAGCACTGTAATTTACGGTGTTTTTGTGCAATTTTTGATATTGTCTCAGATGTGCTTTCTGTACTTGATGCAAAACAGGATTCGAGAAAGCAACAAACACGAAAACGGAAAGCGTTTTCAGATGCAACTTTGTCAGTTGTGAAATCACTGTTATTTGCAGTGTTTTTAAAGGAAACTGCAAAACAACACCCTTTTTTTTAACGTTTTTTGATGGTTTCAGCCTCAAAACCTGCACAGGCTCAAAAAAATGCAAAAACAAAACCAAACCTGGAAGCTCCAAAACCTGCACAGGCTCAAACAAATGCAAAACATGCAAAACCCAGATGCAATGTTAGAGGTCAGGGCTTGATTGGTCTGGATTTTGCATTTTTTGCATTTGTTTGAGCCTGTGCAGGTTTTGGAGCCTTGGGTGCTTAAAACCTGCACAGGCTCAAAAAATGCAAAAAATCCAAACCTGGAAGCTCCAAAACCTGCACAGGCTCAAAAAAATGCAAAAAATGCAAAACCCAGATGCAAGTCAGAGGTCAGGGCTTGATTGGTCTGGATTTTTGCAGTTTTTGCATTTTTTTGAGCCTGTGCAGGTTTTGAGGCTTCCTGGTTTGGATTTTTTGCATTTTTTTGAGCCTGTGCAGGTTTTGGAGCCTTGGGTGCTTAAAACCTGCACAGGCTCAAAAAAATGCAAAACATCCAAACCTGGACGCTCCAAAACCTGCACAGGCTCAACAAAATGCAAAAATGCAAAACCCAGATGCAAGTCAGAGGTCAGGGCTTGATTGGTCTGGATTTTTGCATTTTTTGCATTTGTTTGAGCCTGTGCAGGTTTTGGAGCCTTCGGTGCTTAAAACCTGCACAGGCTCAAAAAAATGCAAAAAATCCAAACCTGGAAGCTCCAAAACCTGCACAGGCTCAAAAAAATGCAAAAAATGCAAAACCCAGATGCAAGTCAGAGGTCAGGGCTTGATTGGTCTGGATTTTTGCAGTTTTTGCATTTTTTTGAGCCTGTGGAGGCTTCCTGGTTTGGATTTTTTGCATTTTTTTGAGCCCGTGCAGGTTTTGGAGCCTTGGGTGCTTAAAACCTGCACAGGCTCAAAAAATGCAAAAAAAACCAAACCTGGAAGCTCCAAAACCTGCACAGGCTCAAAACAATGCAAAAAATGCAAAACCCAGATGCAAGTCAGAGGTCAGGGCTTGATTGGTCTGGATTTTTGCAGTTTTTGCATTTTTTTGAGCCTGTGGCCAGCTTTGATGCCATTGAGAAACCAAGCCATTGAGGTAATGAGTGCTCTACTGATAAATCAGATGCTTACAGGACAGCCTTTGATATAACAGTGCAGCAGTGATGACACACACACACACAATCATCAACCTTTTAGGACCACATGCCCAAACCACATCAAACAAGGCCCCAAATGAGTGTCCTTTTCTTCCCAAACAATAGTTTCCACTTGCTACGCAATAAGCCTACAGAAGGTTTATAATCTTTCAGAAAAGTTTATAAACCTTATTGAGTGTTTGACGAGTTTCCCGCATCAAGGCAACAACACCCTACGAAGTGTTCATGGTATCGTTGAAGGAGGGGGGGGGGTGGTTGGTTGGAAGTCTTAGCAGTGAGGTGTGACTCAGCCAACTTTGTAAAGACTTCTCAGTACCCCCCCCCCCCTCCCCCCCCTGCCCTTGTTGCAAGGAAACCGTCAAACCCTTGACATGGTTTATAAACTGTCTTGAAAGTTTATAAACTCTTTGCTGTTGTTACTCAACATGACTTGTCACCCACAAACAAATATGCAGCAACAGCACACTTCTTGCGTATATATGCTCACACCCCCTGTCCTTAAAATAAGAGGGTTTTGTACATTTTGAAGTGGAAAGGTAGGCCCTGGGGGGGGGGTGAGCATATATATATATCATGGTTCGTTGCTACTTTTGAAAATGGGAGTTCCCTTTCTCCAACGGCGGGTCTGGGCAAGCATTTGAAGACAATGTGTCTCGAAGGGAACACCAGGCGGCTTTGTGGTTGGCTTCTGGAAGTCAAGAGAACCGCCATTTCAAAGGGCTCCTCATCTTGAGAAGCACCGAGATGGAGTTGTTGCGGTTCCCTTTCAATACAAGCCAAATGAGGGTGCGCACTTTTGAGAAATGCCCAAATGTTTTCTCCGGATGAGGCGAAACCATTGTCCACTGCCCAAATGTGGGTACATTCGACATGGAGCCTCACGAGGCGAGAATGGTTGCGCTTCGTCCATGTCGTGATGTTAACTTCCGGAAAAAATCCAGATCGAGGACGCTGCTAGTCAGAGAAACCTTTGAAATTGCTCATGTCCGGGAATCACCTTCTATTAACACGATCCTCCGGATTAATCTGAAGTTCGTATTATTTGGCCATGGATTTTATAGGGAACCACCTCAAAGGTGGTGGATATATGAATCCCCAGGGTCCATACCCTCCTATCCACTAACGCGGAACCCAGCAGAGGGTCCCAATTGAAGGAAGATCGTCTTGCACCCCGCAAGATGAAAGCCCAGAAATGGGATTGCAAGCCTAAGCAAGGGCTTCCTTGCGCCTTGGATTCATGGCATCGATCTCACTCACAGCAACCACCAACCCAGCAATAAGCCTTCAAGCATTTTTTTGCATGGGTAGTCTGGGTTGGAATGGAGACCGCAGCCCCAGCCACCAAACCGAGCTCCAGAACCCGGGCGCTCTTGCCGAGGCGTGGTGTCCTACGGCGCGGCCATGTGCTGCTGGGACGCAGGCGGAACATCGAAGCGAGGAGTGTGTGGTCTGTTCTTTGGAGGGTGGCCGTTTCAGGTTGGCTGAAAGTGAAACCAACAGGTAAGCCGAAGTCCATGTTTTCATTTGCGGTGACAACAGTGTCACAATCTGTGACTTGAATCATGTAGGGTTGTTTTTGTGAGGGAACCCATAGGTGATTTCCTTACTGTTCCCCTTTCCAAGGCGCTCTTTTTGTCACCAGAATAGTAAGCCCTGGTAATTTATGCTACTTTCTTGAGATCGAGCTATCCAGAGCTATTGTAGAGCCAGCCCAGCCCTTTCCCGCAAAGCATGTTCTCATGAACTCTTGCTGAAAAGGTGTTCACCCCAAAATTCACGGAAGAAGCTAGGCGGAGCACTCGTACAAGGGACTTTGTGAGCTGTTAGTGACTTGGTTTGATTCAAGCTTCAGCTTCCTACTTGTGGGAAATGACAAGCAACAAATCACCAGCTATCAAAAAGTTAAACCTTTCACGTGGGAGGGAGGAGGGTGAAAGCCCAGCCCGGGTCGGACTTGCAGAAATATCCTTTTGTGGCCTTGACACAGCGTTGAGGACAGCGAAGCTTAGAACACTTCACACCATGAATCTTCTCATTTGCACCCGCACATGACGTATGGTAGAACGAGGACATGACACAAGCCGGATCGCTGGGTTGCATACTTTAGTCCAGTTCAATGAGTTTGGGGATAACTTCCAGAACCCTGACATTGGCCGGAGTTGGGAATCACATCTCCTGGCCAGATGTCACCACCAAGAGGAAGGAGACCAGTGCCTATTTTGCATTTGAGGGCCTGACTCCACCCCAGTCCATACAACTCGCAGCAATCAGGGACCCTATAGTCCACACGAGACACCAAAGACCCAGCTCCTTCATAACTCGGTAAAGTAGCACAAGCTGAGGCCAACCTGTTCCGGGCCTTTCTGTAGGCACACTACACCCTCCGAAAAGCCAAAGCCTTCTTTGGCCTCGTCTAGCCTTATTTCCCCCTATGCGACCCGTCGAAAGTCCGCAGAGGGCCCACCCTAAGCCGAGAAGCGCCAAAACAAATCGCAAAGGAACCAATCGCCCTTGTTTACCTTATTTCCCCCGATAGCCTGGCACCAGTTTTCAGAAGTGTTTTCTGTTTGATGACCCGGCCGGGCGCCGTTTCTTCGTTTCGCGCAGGGCAGCACTGGGCGCGGGCGCTGCAGCTTTTGCCCGAGGCCGCCAGCCACGGCCACTTGGACGCCATGCCGGCGTTCTCGGTTTTTTATTGTTTTTTGTTTAGTTCCGAAATTGGGGGGGGGGGGGGGGAGGGGGCGTTTTTTGTTAGTTGGCACCCTTGTTGCGCTTGCGTTGCTGTAAGGTGAAACCGAAAGGAACCCCCCGCCCCCACCCCCCCCCACCCCTTGATCTGCCTATTCTCCGGCGAGCTCACCGATCCAGGGGTACCGAACGAAAGCCATGATGAAGTTGGAAGCTTCCTGGTTTCCTAACCTTCTAAGTTAGACTTGTAGAAGTTATTAAGTTAGAAGAGGGCTCCTTAAAAGATACATTTTGCCCATTTGAAACATGTTTTTTTCCACCAAAATAAGGGAAACCACCATGTACAAGCAATGTTCAGGTGTATAATGTAAGGGTCCCTGTTAGAAGTTACAGGATTATTTATTGTTACCTCACAGTTGAGCGAAAGTAGATGCCGCAATTCCCCTCATCTGGGTCTGGTCCGCCCAAGGGAAAGGGACTTGCGCCATGTACTTTTGTCTTGCTGTAAGGGTTTTTTGTAAGGGCGCCCCGGAGGCGAGAGCTTCCTACATGGTTGCCACTTTTGCGGGTTGGTTTTGGAAAAAGGCCCTTACCCCACCGACGCAAAAGCGCAAATGGCCTAAGGACCCGGAAGGTTGCCCTCATACCCATGTGTTCCCTTCAGATATTGCCCGCATCAAGACCCAGATTATTGCTTGAGGGTCCCCTGGAGAAAATGCCAGACGGGGGCAACAAACACATGTACAGGCCCCAGAGTTCAATTGTGAGTGATAGTCAATAGAAAATATGGGGAGTCAAATTCAAGGCGAACCCCAAACTTGGTGATTTTCCTCTTCCCCACCCCCAACTATCTGTGAACGTATAACAAATGAGAGGGCTATGATTCATTCATTATGCACCGTTTGTTTTTGAATAGATACTCATGTTCGTGGCGTCCCCCTAGTTGTTTTTTGAAACGGGGACCAAGAGGAAAGCCGCAGCTAGTGGGACACCCCAGCGCTCGCGAGGCCTGCAGGGCAACGTGGTGACCTGTGGCGCGGCCATCAGCGCGGTACGTCTCTGGCAGCAGGCCCTGGCGCTGCTGGACACGAGCTCGCAGGTCGGACCGGGAAGTTTGTGCGCGGAAGTGGAGCGAAAACGCCTGGAAGCTGGAGGGTTGGTTCAAACAATTGGTTTGGCACCTTTTATAGGAAAAAGAACGGAGAGTGTCTAAAAAAAACACAGTTTCCACCAGTGAAGGGGGGAGTCAAACCTCCCCCCCCCACCCCACTCCCTGCCGCCACCCCCCGGCCGCCAGCCGCGCAGACCAGCGCCGTGGCCTTCGGCGCGGCGCTCAGCGCCTGCGAGAAGGGCCACGCCTGGCGCTGGGCCGCGCAGGGCCTCGCCCAGCTGCTGCTGCAGACCCTGCGGCGCCCCGGCGGAAGCCGTGGGTTTTTGCTTTGGGCGGGTTCCTCCTCGTTGTTGTTTTGTTTTGTTTTCTTCCGGGAGGGTTCCTCTTTTTTCGAGAGGGTTCCTCTTTTTTTTTTTGGGGGGGGGGTCCTCCTCGTGTTTTTTGGGGAGGAGTTGTTTTTGGGGGTGTGTGTCCCCCAATTTTTGTGGGGAGGGCCTTGCCGTGGTCGGTGGGTTGTATGCTTTCCCTTAGGATGTTCCCTTCAAAATGCAGACCCAGCGAGTTGTTTTTGGTCTGTCCCGTTTTGTGGGGGAGTGGGTGATTTTCAAAATTAAAATGTTCTCCTGTGGGTTTTGGAGGGAATCTGTTCCCAACACCCGTAAGGTCATTTTCTACTGAGCACCAACAAGTTTTGGAGGGGTTCCCTTCGAAAGCCAGACCTCCACTCAAGCATTTTCTTGTTTCCTTTGTTTCAGGGGTGGGACTGTTGCAAAATCAACCACAAGTGCCAGGAAGCTACTTATTTCTGTTGAGGAAAGCAGCGGGGGGATGGAGGTTGACGAGTGTTTGTTGTTGTTTGTGTGGGGGAGGGGGGAGTTTTGGGGGGCGAGGGGCTTGGCCCGGGAAAGATGACAAATGGTGGACGCTTCTTTTGGTCCTGACTTCTCGCCTGTTCTTTCCCTGCAGTTTTGCTTATGGGTGAACCAGGAAGCAGCGCAGGGGGGGATTAGAAAACCCCAACAAGTTGATGTATCCCTTCTCCTGTACCATCAGGGCACTGCCATAGACCTGCCAACGTGTTCTTGTTTTCTCGGAACACAAACATATCCTCCAATATTTTAGCCAAGTGAATGTCCAGCAAACGGATTGGATGCGCATTCTGCGGATTCCCCACGTTATTTTACCAGCTGGTCCTCTTTTTAAGTACTCTTCTAGTAACCCTTTGCTGTACAGGGGTGGATCCACAAAAACCGCATCCAAACCGTTTCGTAAAAACAGGGACTCCGTTTTGGTGAGTGCCTTTGGTGATGCTTGGGGACTGCTTGGACCCGGATGGAACATTCCTTTGACCACGCATTGCCCGTGGCCTTTGTCCCAAAATTGGCAAAGCGCATCATTTGGATGGTGTTCAAAGGGAAATGAACAGAACACCTGCCGCCATGTGCAGGGGGCGTTTCTCAAAATCAGGGCAGTCTCTAAATGGCTGTGGGTCAAAACCAATGGTACCATTCTGGGGTAAGTGCACCACCCATTTTAGTCTATTTTAGTGGGGATTGGGATGTTCACTGGGGGTACAGGATTTTGACCCATGATGAGGTTATGTGTGCTTTCCTTTTACCTGCCACGAGAAGGTGCGCTTTTGGAAAAGAAGCGCCCCACGCAGTAAGGGGCTACTGGCCCCAGTTGATAAATGACTTGATCGCTGGGACTTATTCACTGGAGAGATCCACTTGCTGGGGTCGACATCCAAGGGGCTCCTGATTGAATGGCGTTTTCGGAAATTTAAGGCACATCTGTCAGTAAGCCTTCGTACATAAGATGGCAGCTTTAGCTGTTGAATCAACCACCTCGCCAACCCAAGCCTGTGTTCAGACCGTTGCTGCTTGGGCAGGTTGCCATGGACCTTCTGTGTCACTGGTTATTGTAGTTTGCAACACAGATGAAAGCATGGGATGGGGGCTTGGCTGCTAAGGTGGACCAGCCTTCTCAGCGGCTTGCTCCCAGGAGGATTTTGGTTTTTAACGCTATCCCAAAAACCGATGAAGGGCGAACTCCTCGAAATAGGGAAACGCTAAATTGGTCCTTGTTCCTTTTGGTCACCCTTTAAGCCAACCCCCAAAAGGCGGGTTCCCTAAAAATCCACACCCACACCACCCGCGCACGCCGAAATGCACAAATGCAACTACTTGCACAGTCCCCCTCGCCATATGTGTGAGGGCTTCCTTCTGCCAAGCTGGTCCCCAAAAACAGGCCCACCCAAACACCAGGCGGTTTAGAGGGTGGCTTTCAACCAAGCGGCTCGTTTTTTTCCACCGTGGCTTCGATTTTTTTCAAGTGTCTCCTTCTCCCAAGTCCAAGCGACACGTCAGACAGACGTCTGAGGCCGGACGTGGTGGCCTTTAATCCGCTGCTGGGCGCCCTGGGCGCTCGAGGCCGCTGGGAGGCGGCGCTGCAGCTTGCGACGCGCATGGCGTCCGCGAGGCTGCGGAGCTCTGTGGTGACGCTGGGCACCGTGATGGCGGCGCCTTGGAGAGAGATCTGGCCGGGTGAAATTTGCGGAATGCGACAAAGAGCTGGGAGAGGCGGGTCTTTGAGACATGGATTTCGGGGGGGAAATGTCTTCTCCCTTTAAGGCCACCAACTGGTGTCCATTTCTTTAAAGGCACGGAAAAAAGGGAGACCCTCAAACAAAGACAGACCCACAAAAGCCACCGCCCTACAAACTCTGAGGTGGAACACAAAAAAAAGACATGGTTTGTAGAGGACTTCGGGTTCCATGCTAGTTTGTAGGAGAGCAGGAACGAGCGGAACCGGCAATTTCTATGGCGTCAAAGACCCTCCGAAAGCCAAGCTGGAGTTTTCTGTGCCCAAGAAAAGGTTTCTTCTGATAGAAGCCAGTTGGAATTTCTTGGAGATGGTTTGTCTCGAAACCAGAACATTCTGTAGGAAATCCTTGTTTCGGTTGGTGTTTGGCTCAAATCTCCCACGGTGCATTCAACTTATTAGTTTGTTTTGTTCATGTAAATAACCTCCCATTGGCTCATGAGACACTCCCACATGTAGGCTCACTACTCCCCACTGGAAGCGATGATTTTCTGACCGTGGGTGTTTTGTCCCCCGGCTGTGGCGAAAACTTGGCTCAACAACCCATGGCGTGATTTTCTCAAAGGGACACACGAATCCTGTACCAGGTGGGAGCCGTGGTTTATACCAAATGCCTCATCCATCCCAACTGCTGCGAAGTGGATGGTGTCCATCCCCAGTATCCGTCCACCTGGGCGTGTCTTTTGTTGAGGGTTTTACAGGGGGACCAAATCAGCAAAGCCATTGGAGCCATGGTGGGGTCGCCCGAATCCCCAAAAGACGAGGCACCCGGGTTGGATGGTCGGCAGGCCATGGACCTGGGGAGCCGCTGGGCTGTGAGCTTCGGCCTACTCGCCGCGGCGCCACACCAAGCGCCACTCGCTCGGAAGGGACGCCCCGCGCCGCGCGCGCCCTCGAGCGGGCGCTGTCCGCGTCTTGCTTGTTTTGTTGTTTTCCGCGAGGGGTGCGGGGGTTCTTAGTGATGGTTCTTAGTGATGGTGTTTGTTGTTTTTTTCTGTTTTTGTTGTTTTTTTCCCCAGATAGCTGAAAGCTTTAGGGGTGCCAACTTCTAATGAAGAGGAGGAAGTGATTTGCGAGATTGATGGGCTGGTGCTAGGGAGCGTGCAGTTTGGGGTGCTGGTGTGGGTGCTGATTGGGGTGTTGTTTGAGGCGCTGATGGCAGTGCGGGCGCATCTTTTCAAGATTGACGGTAGGGTGATAGGGGGCATGCAGCTTGAGCTGCTGGTGCAGGTGGTGTTTTGGGATGGGCGGCTGGGTGCGTGGGGGCTGTTTGGGGTGCTCGTTTTGGGGTGCTGTTGAAGGTGCTGGTGTGCAATCATTGCTATCTGGGGTCTATGCTGGTGCATTTTTTCGGTTTTTTGGGTGGCAGGAATGGGAGGCTCCTCCTTTTTTTCAGGATTTGGAGCACCAAGATGGGTTTAAGGGAACCCTTTGTCTTGAAAATCACCAAAAAGGGGTACCAACTCAACAGACACAGCCAAATGGGATGATTGGGACCCATTTCCCCGATTTGAAACCAAGGGGACCACCCTTCCGAAGAGTGACCTAGAGGTAACTCGGATCCACTGGAGGGGAGGGGTTCACTCCCCACGCTTTTTGCAAGCCAGCCGGCATATCAGATGGGTGTTCGGTTTCTGTTTGTTTACCTTTAAAGCCCCCCAATCCCCAAAAAAAAAGCGCATTGCCAAGAATGATGGTGTCCCAGTTGGCTTCCCGGCTCCTCCGACCGACCGACGGCCCTTACGACGCGCGCGCGTTTTTTCCGCGCCGCGAGGCTCCAGCCCAACGTGGTGGCCTTCGGCTCGGCGGCCAGCGCCTGCCAGAGCTCGGAGCTGTGGGAGTGGCGCGGCGCGGCGCAGCTGCTGGCCGGGGCGCCCAAACCGCCCGGCCGTCCGGGGAGGGCCGGGGCGGGGGGCGGGCAGGGGGGGGGGGGCCCTTGATTGGGTGGTCCAAAAAAAAAGGGGAGTCACTTCCAAGATGGGTTGCCCTGGTACATTGGAATGGGCTGGAACCTGCAGTCCATATGTTTGGTGGTTTTAGTTTGACCCATACCCATTGGAGGGTTGATGAAAAGGTCTGTAAGACATGGCATGACCATTGGGGGAAACAACGAAAACTCACATTACCAAAATGGTTTATGGGTGAACCATATGTTAAATCAGGTAATATGAGATGATATGTATGAAAAATATCGAAGAACATGGGGGATCCGATTTATGTTTTGAGAAAATCCCATACAGGGCTAAATAATTGCGCGCATCATGACTCAATTTGGCTCTAAAGCAGCCAATCCCTCATTCCAATTCTTTCACCTCCGTTGGGGGAACGTGTTGTTAAAAGTTGATGGGTTTCACATCCTCCGTTTTTTGTTGATCATGTACTTTACCCCCAAAAAAAAAACATGTGCCAGGGTGTAGATTTCCTTTGAAGCACAATCCGAAAGTGCCCCTTACCGTGGGCTTGGTAGCAGTCATGGACCCTCAACAAGGAATCCTTTCCCGAAGGAAGGAGTTTCGAAGAAAATAAGCTCAGGTGATATCCCCAACAGCATGCGGTGCTCTTTTTACAGCTCGCACCACCCCGCAGCCCTCGCAAAACTTCGAACCCTCGTGGAACCTTACATCAGGGCCGCCCCGGACCACCCCGGATTATCTGGGCTGAGACCCCAAAGCTTTCAGCTGTTGGGGAAAAAACTAACGTCGACTTTTAGTATCCGAAACGAACTCGTTTTTGAGGGGACCCCCGAAATCGTGGTTGTTTGTTTGGTCTTCCTTAAACCGAAGAAGCAAATCTCGTGATTTGCCCATCGGATGAGCCTCGCGCCCCGGGCTGTGGGCTGAGGCCTGTGTGCAGCGAGCCAGCCTGCAGCTCGCCGGATCTTCGGGCTCTCCCAAGCGATCCCAACCCCACCCCCCCCCCGCTCCCTCCCCAACCCAAAACGAAAGCCTCGAGGATCCAACAGGTGCGACTTCCCTCTTGTGCCTCACGAAATGGCCACACGACATGTGGGTACAAAACACTTGGATTGGGAGCTGGATTTTGTTCAGGTGAATGGAAAGCCTTCAGGAAACAGTTGACACAAGTTGAAACAGTTCTGAGTAGGCCGACTTTCAACTGCATGTCAGGTTTTTAAGGTTCCTGGCATTCAGTGTCTTCTTCATACGGGCTCCCCGAACGGTTAAAAACGGTGCGTACCCCACCCAAAACTCCTTTTAACAGGCTCTTCTCAACCTCAGTCCTTGGATCTCCGCCCCTCAAAGTGCCACCCCCCCTCTTCCCCCCGCCTTTTCAGGCGCCAAAACGGCTTTTCCCCGAAGCCGCTGGATTCAGCGCGACGCTTCGAGGCAGTCCACCCCGGTGCTGCGGAGCGCCGCCTGCAGCGCCTGCGTCAGCGCCTCCGCCTGGCGCGCGGCGATCCACACGGACCGAAGGAGCGACGGACACGAGGAGTTGGACGTGGTGGGGACGGGGGGAGCCATCAGCGCCTGCGAGAAAGGCGCGGAGAAAGGAAAGGAGGTCGGTCGCTGTCTTTTTTGTTGTGTTTTGGTTGCCCCCCTTTGTTTTGGAGGGGGTTGGGGGGAGAAAGAGGAGAATCCGGGCAGGCCGGTGTCTTTTCGTTTTTTTTTTTTTTTTTTTTTTTGCGGGGGGGGGGGGGGGAATCAACTGGAGAGGTTGGTTGAAAATGGATGTGCTCTGGATGAGTATCAGATTCTCACTGCTGTATCTCGCAAACTTGGGCTTGTTTTTTGGTGTTTTTTTCTCTGTGGTTGTGCCTTTTTGTGGACCCCCCCCTTTGGTTGGTTTTACAGGGAAACTAACAGGAAAGTCACCATTGTCATTTTGGCGCATAAATGCAGGATGTGGAAGTGGGGAGCCTTGATTCTTGGGGGTTGAGCAGCTCGTCAAAGCGGGCCAGAGCTTCACACGTCCCGCGCAGGGTTCAGGGGGCAAGACTAACCTCGTTGATTTGAAGGGCGGCGACGAAACACTCTTGGCTTGTGTTTCTAGGTTCCCCAGTAGTGCCCTTTTACCATTTCTTTTTTTGGGGAGGGTTCCCCTACTAAATTGACCACAGAAAAAAGGGTACCCTTATTCTGACCTCTCTACTGGAGGACGTAGGTTTAGACATCAAGGCCCTCGCTTCAAGCGGGGGTTGGCATGTCGACGCCCAGCAGCGCAGACCAAGAGCATGCCGACAGCTCAAGTCTTCGGCCGGATGTTTGAGGGAAGTGCAGAAAACCTTCGACGTGAACATCCCCCTCGCCATCCAAAACTACAATGTCCTTCGGGGTAATATGCAATCCGGATATTCAATCCCTGTCCTGGACTTCGTAGTGCTGGGTACTCCACGCTTGGTTGTTGTTAACCAAGCATCGTTTTGGTATCCCGGGTTGTTTCACGGGATAGGACCACGTTTTGGAGTTTGGAGTCGGTATGACTGAATTCCCCATAGCGTCGGGTCAATGAAGCCGCCCAAATGACCCGTCCCACCCCCTCCCCCAAAAAAAAACGCGCACACACACACACACAAAAAAGGGCCCCAACTCCAAAAGGAAAGACGAGTCCCTAGGTCTCCATGACTGCCAAAAGGGGTCACATCCCAAAATTTTGGGTAGTGACCCCAAAGGCTCAGGAGATTTCTCGGTCCTTAGGCGGCTGTTGGCCTCGCGCCCTCCAGCTGCTGTCCACCCTCGCCTCCGCGCCGGCGGCCGCTCGAGGCTCTGCGGCCACCGCGTGCGCCAAGGCGGCGCGGTGGCGCCTCGGCCGACTGCGAGCCGAAAAGGCCGAAGCGAGCCCAAGGAAAAGTTGTTTGGTGTTTTTTGTTGTGTTGGTTGTGTTTGGTTGTGTTGGTTGTGTTGGTTGTGTTTGCTTCTTCTCTCCCCGAAAAATGTGTTGTTGGTTGGTTTTTGCAGGGACCAAGCTGATATCAAGCTGAAAAGGATGAGTTTTTGGTGGGACCATTGGAAAGGGAGGGTGTATTGTGCCTTTACAAATGCGGGGGGAACGTGTCTAAATCGGGGGTACAGACTGCCTGTTTTGGAAAGGATGAGCTGTTTTTTTTTTTTTTGGTTTTGTTTTTTTTGCGAGGACCAAGCTGATATCAAATTGAACACGTGTGTCTTTGCGACCAAGCTGATATCAATCAGTTGGAAGGGGTCTCCAGCTCTTGGTTTACTTGCAACATTTGGGAATCCACCGCGTGCCTCAACACGTTGGATCCAAATGCCTCTTGTGGTTTGGAAGGCTGTTTGCAAGTACGGTCGATATGTACTCAGAATATTGCACGTCACCTGGAAACCATGACAATTTACAGAAAGTTGTCCTGGTTCCCTTGCAGCATGTCTGGAATCGAGCGTGTGCCTCGTAGCTCCTTTTGCATTCACAAGGCGGATGCCAAAACCCAACGGGCCATTGTTTTCTTGTAGTTGAGGAGGGACTTTGCTCATCAGGTCTTGGCTAAGTTGCAGCGTTGGTCCGACCTCTTGACGGCATGTTAGATTATATGAGCTTCCGGTGAACACCCCAGGTCATGTTGTGTTGTTCACAAAAACAGCTAGGATCATGTTGGGGAGCCAGACACCCAATTGCGTCATGTCAAAATGCTGGGTTTTACCATCAGCCTTGGTTTCAGTTCAAGCAGGGGCCTCCCAACTTTATGACAATCTGGTTGGATCCTTGGACTTTAACTTTTCGGGCAAAAGCGGATTTCCCTTGGACCCAAAGATAGTTAAACTTTTTGCAGAGGGGTCAACTGCAACCAAGCCAAGTGCATGGGACTGCCATCTCTGTTTTGGACTGTGCCACATGTAGCCTTTGCCGGCTGCGGGCCACGTTTGGTTGAGAAAAGGGTGCTACATTCTTCAAGGATGTCTCTTTCTCACCGGATTTGTTCTTCCACCGCTGCCTGGCAAGCGAGCCAGCCAGCCAGCCAGCAAGCATTCCAAGCGCTCCAAACTCACGCTAAACACCCCTGTTCACCTTAAAACCGTACTAAACTACCCTAAACACGCGCTACGCAAACGACAAATCAAACCAAAACCAACCCCGCACCCGCCGTGAGCCCATCCTAAACCCAACCCAAACCGCAAGCCCTCCCTGCACGCAGCACAAACCCCCACCGCAAGAAGATGGTTGAACTTCCACAGCAGGCACGCCATGCGAGCCTAAATCAAAACCTTGGGCTTAACCAACCCGCGAGCCCAGCTGAAAAGAACCTCCCCCAAAGGCCTTGATGGCCATTTCAATAGGAGTGGAGAGCTCGCCTATTGGGGACTCGTTCAAATGTTTGGGTTTCCTTGGTTTCCCAATAAGCACCACGGCGAAAAGCGCGCATTCAAACAAAAACTGTCTTTTGACACGGCATAGCAATTCAGTTTCAATACTCCAAATAGTCGGGACAGGACACTTGCCTGTTACTGGAATACTGATGCTGTTTTTGGGGACAAGTGTAGAATTGGATATGTTGTCGTCGTGTTTGCAGAGAAGCCACGTGACAGTAATCCGTTTTGTTTTTTTTCCCGATAGCTGACCTAGGTCTCATTCTAAGAAAGCTGAAGCCTCTCTGCTGTGTTTCTTTGTTTTGCGGGGGGAGCGGGAGGGGGGCCACGCGAAAAAACAAGCAGTTTTCCTCTTGGCTTCCCGTCAAAAGAAATCTGCGCGCGCATGAATCGTGGTGAAAACCGATGCCCTCCCATAGGACGCGAACCAGGTCCTTCCATTTGCTTAAGAACATTCTTGCATTTTCCCCTGGTTTTAAAGGGAGTCGAGTTCACAACTGGACATGGTTTCTTATTTTTCCCAGGTTGGTCTTAGAAGGGATCGATTTCACAACTGGACACATGTGCCGATTTGTTTCCGGGCGAAGACGACGGAAGGGTCCCATCGGAGTTTTGTATCCCAGGTCCGAGGCCTTTCTCATTTTCGCCGTGGGCGGCGAGCTGGAGGCGCGGCTGCCCGGTCCCTGGTTTTGCTTCGCTTTGGATTGGTTTGTTGGTTGGTCTGTTGGTTTATTTGTTTGTTGGTTGGTTGGTTGTCGCTTTGTTGGTCTGTTTGAATGTTTGAATGGTTGCTTGCTAAGTTGTTTTGTGTTGTTTTGTTTTGTTGGTGTTGTTCCGTTTGCCTGTTATTTGTTTTGCATTTTTTTCTGTTTGCCTGCTTGTCCGCTTGTTTGGTTGCCTGGTTGTCTCTTTGTTTCTGTTGGACGCCGCCAGGCCGACGCCGTGGCGGCGGAGCAACTCGCCGCCGCGGCGGAGGGCGGCGGGCGCCGCGCGCTGGGGCCGCTGCTGGCGTGGCTGGAGGGGGCGCAAGTGGCCAGCCTCGGACAAAACGCTCCCCGAAAAATGTGGTGACCTGGTGGGGAGGGCGTTCCTAGAGGCGCTAAACTCACTCCCGGAGTTGTTGGGCTTGATACTTGTTGGGAAGACAGTTTTTGTGGTAACCGAAAAGTTTGGATTTGTTTGGCCAACTCAGAATGTGAGTAAAAACAATGGGGAAAACGGCCCGCCAAGAACGAGCCCGTCAACAAAAGGTTTGCTTGTTTGTTTCTGTTTGGGGGAGGGGTGGGACGGTTTGGGGGGTTGCGGGTTTGGGGAGTTGGGAGGTGCGTTGGCGGGGGCAGGGTTTGTGGTCTTGGGGTGGTTGGAGAGGGTACTTCTGCAATTTTGCCTCGCTTCTGCGGATGTAGGAAGCGATGAGTCAGGGGAGTTGAAAAGGGCAGAAGATCAGCTACCTCGGCTTGGATTTGAACCCCTGGCTTCTGCAGTGGGTAAGTAAGATCTGTGCTCCCGTGTCTGCTTGAGAAGGCATGTTGGTTGCTTCATTGAAAACACATCTTTATCTGTTTCTTTGGAGCGCTTTGTGTTTGAACACCCGTGCGTGACGAAAGAAAGCGCCCGTGTTTGACAAAAGGTAGCTCACCGGGCAAGCACCTGGCTGTTCCATTGAGAGACCTCGGTTTGGAAGTGCAACAGACAGGAGTTGTTACAGCTGCGGCGGTTTTGCCGACCGCGTGTTCCTCGGCAAAGATGATCCTTTTCTTGAAGGCAACCGAGTGTTGGAAGTAGTCAGGTTATTTACAAGATCATCATCATATTTTCTGAGTCAAGCCGCAGCGTCGCATTGGCCGCAACATTGTCCAAGGATAGCTAGCCCGCGCCATGGAAGAAGCAGGGCATCAGGATTGGCACAGCTCAGCGGCTGAGCATTTCACGAAAGCCCGAAGTCCCGAAGTGATGTGGGGCTCTCCTTTTTGATGGTGCCCCTGTTTGCCTGGTTTTATCCGAGAAACCCAAAGGAAAACCGTGATTGTGGACGCCCTCTGAAGAAAGCCACGAGGATCATCCATGTATCTGATTCGCGGGATGAGTCCTTGGTCAAATATCCAGAATTGTCGTTTTGGGGCAAGGTTTGAGCACGTGCTGCTTCAACAACAAGCCAACTTCTACGACCGCACTGACAACAGCCGACAACTCAGAGAAGCTGTTCCTCTCAAGTTTGGCTTGGGAGAACTTCGAGGTAAATCCAGATTTCACGGGAAGCTTCGGGGGAAACCCTCCACTTCCAAGGGACTTCCCCTCAAAACGTGGTCACATTGAGCTCCTCTCGCGGCCGCTTGTCGCTGCCGCTTGTGCCGCGTGGCGCCGTGCCATGCGGCGGCGCCTGCAGTTCCGCACCCTGCGGGATGTGGGGGTGGACCTCGAGGCATCGGATCGGCAAGCGCTGATGTTTTTGTTGGGCTCTTTTTTTTGCAAGAGGTCTAGACCCAAAATATCGGCAGACCGAAGATCTGCGGTTTCTCTGGTTTTGGGTGTTTCAGCTTTCCGGATTTAGAACGTGCTTACGAAAGGTGTTTCTTTTGGTTTCCCAGTTGAAAAGCACAAAGGGGGGCCGACCATGTCCCCTAGACCTTAACGGAAGGGACCCTAAAAACCCCACCACAAATAGAGATGTTGATCTCCTTTTAGGAAATGGACCCCCTTTGTGGGTTCCATGTTAACTTGGGGCGTACCCACCAGATCACCAACGAACCAAATTCGGTGTCCGTGCACTCGAGGATTCCATGCCATACGGGCTTCGAAAACGGAGGACTTTAGCGGGAACCCCAAATTCAGCAGACCGCTGGTTGGGGGGTCATCACTTTTGGAGCAGAACACCCCGCTAGTACGGGTTCTGTTTGAATCCTGGCTTAACATTGGCAGTCAGGGGAGCTACCCAACAAATAGATGGGTGTGTCTTTGTTGATACCCTTGTTGACTAAAAGACGCTAGCTATT